AATTACAGGCTTCTCTCATCTTTTTAAGTGGGAGAACTTGCACAATTGGTGGCTGACTAAATACTTTTTTGCCCCACTGTATGTCAATCTACAATAAGGCTATATTTCATGATTACCAGGACCCCGCCCCAAACTTTTTGGAAATTCACTTTCAAATGCTGCCCATAGTTTCCAAACTTTTCACTGTAACCAAAAATCTGAGAATCACGGGCCACCAAAATGCATCCAAAATGTTAAAGTTGTACCCATCAGTGCCAACTGGAAAAACCATGTGGAACATTTTAAGATTTCTGATGAAGATTGAGAATTATAGGCATAATATAACTGATCTGAGTCTATAATCCTCAAATGTAAGCCATGCTTTCCCTGCAGAAATATGAATAATGTTTAACAGCCTCCCATAACAATGTTGATTTGATTATGAGGTTGAGTACAGCCATTTGCTAGACACCCTTCACCACCTTGTCGTCAGTGGTACAGTATACAGATCAACATTGGCATCTGACAACTTACTATGATGCATGTATCATATGGCAAGCTATCCTTTTTTTTCACAAATGGTATTGATAAATAGCTGTTTATAGCATGCTTTTCAATTAGAAAGGTAGCTTCCCCTGTGTTCTAAATCACCTCTACTCAATGCTATTATTATGACTTCACTGTGTGGCTTATACATAATAGGACCTGGGGATATTTAGCCATGTGACTCAGACATGTTGGTTTTTTCACAAATTCATCTTAATAACTTCAAAAGATGATTCACAAAGCTTCTGGGAACTCAGAGCCCTCCCCACAGCTGTCAATTTCTATACTTGCCTTCACAAAACTTAACTTTCTCTTCTACGTACAGCAAGCCTTTTGCAAGAAGCTGGTTCTGCCAAAAAGAAAAAAAGAAAATAAGGTTGAATTTTCTCACAAATCCAAAGATAAAAAAGATGCTTTCAATTTTTATAAATGCTATTTCCAATGGATTTACTCAACCTGCTGAACAAGCAATGTTTTTTTTCAAAATCCTGGGCATGGATACATACATGGCCAATGAAAGTTTCACATGCTGTAGCTGCAATGTCTGAATTCCTAATCAGACTCATTTCTTTTCTGCCAAAAAGATCTTCAGGCTGGATTTTATTGCTATTATTGTGCCTTAATCATTGTATTGCATTTTAATACTATATTTATATCTTATTCTCAGCTCTGGAAATTCTCAAAGAACATATATTTCTGAGTTGCCATATAAATGTGGAAAAGAGATATAAAGAAAGGCATTCCTGCATATGATCAGTTAAAAACAGTCTCTGCTCTGCTCTGCATATCTCAACTGTGAATACCTTGATGGTCCAATGCCATAAATACATTCACTGGCATGAATGTATTTGGAGGAAACCAACTGAACTGAATTCTTAAGAAATTAGTGCAGGGACTATTCTATCTGGGTCTGCACTATGTAGAATTTAAAAGGACAACACAATATTATAAATAACCTACTGGTTTTCCAGTGTGTTAAGAACTAGAACACAAGTAGGCCTTGTAACAACATACTGCACTAAGGGAGTGCAGTATCATTTGCTATTCTAGCCGTCATATCAACTTCTCCTCTATGATATTCCATTTTACTTTTCTACCATTTTTCAGGTAACAACCCCAATCCAATTGCATTATCTGCCCACTGAATAAAATCTGCCTGTACTTTGGAATCCCCCCTTTAAGGAGGGAGTTTCCTAAAGATGTTTTGTACAACTACAACCTTGGGGCTGTCCCCAGATGCAACTCCCTCTTGTGTCAATTGTGTTATATAAGAACTGTCACTCACTTCTGAACTTCAGAAATAGAAGGAATGAGTCAATATTCTCTCTTTATATCAGTGCATGCCATACTTTGCAAAACTTTTTTTTTTTTTTTAAAGAGGAACACCTGAGATCTTTTCTTTAAAAAAAGGAAAACAAATGAAAAAGCTGTTTAAATAACAAGCTTTCGTTTTCTTTATATTTAATGCAACAGTTATAAATTTTAATTGGATGTATGGACTTGCATATGCCATATTTCATCTACAATAAGATTCTGATCGTTAAACCTATTTCAATATTTAGTCTTTGTTGAAGAATATGCTGAAAATCCACTTTCACAAAGATGTGTTGAAGGAAAAAGAAGCTGTACCACCAATTCTTTCTCACTTCAAAGACTATATTCCCTGTGAACTTTCACTGAAATTTTGTGCATTTTTTCAGTTATTTTAATGTATGCTTATGCAGAGATCTACCGGCATTTCCTGTTCATTTTTCACTACTGACATTGATCTAAAGCCCATTATTTTTTTTTTCTTTCTTTTTTTTTTGATTACGGACCAACTCACAGAACATCTTCAACAGTAATACTGTTATTCTGCAGAATATGGTTGTACACTCACATAAGCCTCCCAGGGAACTGGCAACCTAAAGTTTGATGGTGGGAAGATGGAATGAAAGGTTGAGCTCAGCAAATGCAGTCCATGTATTGTATTACAATACTTATAATTCTGGAATTGGGGGACAACTCAGGTCATCAAGTCCAACCCTCTACTCAATGCAAAAAATCCAAGTTAAACCATCCTGACAGATAACTGCTCAGCTTCTGCCCACCAGAAATGTTTAATGAGAAAGACATCTCTCCACGTAATTGGGTCTAATGTCAAATTATTCTTACTATTAAGAAGTTTTTCCTAACATTCAGCTAGAATCTGCCTTCCTGCACTCTAGGATGATATTTAATAGTGGTATTATTTTATATATTAATCTCCAAGGTGTCCTCCGGACTCTCAGAATTCCCAGCCGAAGTGGTCATAAGAATTCTGGGAATTAAAATCCTGTACATCCGGATGGCACCAGTTTGGGAAAGTTGCTTAAGCCTGGTGGTTACGCATGCTGGCAGAATTTTCTGTAAGAGAATATATCTGTGGTTATGAGCAATCCTTCCATTGTGAAAAAGAGGCAGATGAATCATATAAGTGATTCATATAAGTAACTACTCCTCTAACAGTTACAGATAGTCCTCGCCTAATGACCATTCATTTAATGATGGTTTGAACTTACAATGGTCTCAGAAAAAGTGATTTATGATCTGTACTCACACTTACGATGATCATACTACCCTCTGCAGTCATGTGATCATGATTTGAAACCTTTCTTATGACAGTCATTAAGCGAATCACATAGTTAAGCAAATCATGTAGTCATTAAACGAATTCCAGCAAAAAAATCCACTGCGGAAGCTGGATTCGCTTAAAGGCCACATGATCCGCTTAACGACTGCAGTGATTCACTTAACTATCATCGTAAAAATGGTTGTAAAATTGGGGCTGGTCACATGGTGACTCGCTTAATGACCGCCCCACTTAACAACCAATTTTCCAGTCCCTATTGTGGTCATTAAGCAAGGACTACCTGTATGTGGAGTGTTCATGGTTTCAAGAGTTGAATGTACTACCTGTATGCACCTGTATGCACATGGAAGAATTCACAACTGTCCAGAATAATTATGAATTCCTTTGTCAGATGGAAAAATAATTGTCTGATGGAAGATCTTTGTGTAAGCAAGCACACAGAGGAACAGTGAACAAAACAAAAAATGCGTCAGCAGTATTAATATTATATTCAATTACCTAAACAACCACTTCCCTGCAATCTTAGAACAAACCAAAAGAAAAGGACTGAAGCCAAAAGAAAGAATATGTACAAATAGTCTAAATACATAGCAATCACGGGGAAGAAGCTATTCTTATTCTGAGAAATGCATCAATGTCCTTGGAGTACTTTCTTCCCAAGAAGCTGCATTTATTTTGAAAGCCTAGAAAGACTATGCCAACCCAATTAAAGGACAGATTTTGAAATTGAAAAAAAAATTACTCAAGAGAGACTTTGTTTAAAATAATTCATGGTTTGTTTTTATGCGGTGCATAGACATCTGTGTCCCTTTTTAATGACAGGGCCTTTCTCTGTATTACTTAAGTTTAGCAATGATGCAATAAATATATGTTTGGGTAAAAGTCAACGATCATGTTTCTCAAAATGTCAGAATAAACAGTTACTTACGTTATTCTCACAATCTATGCCATAGATATATTGTGGTCCTGTACTGTATTCTTCCTCCTCCCCCTTCTCCCCATCATAATGACTTATGAACTTGGGGTAAAGATATTGGAAAACAAAGTATCTTGAATTAAAAATCAAAACTAAGGAGGAATCACAGGAAAAGGAAAAGTTCAAGGAGGTAGGAGGGAATACAAGGTCTCATCTGTCAGAATTCAACCATAAAACAATAGTCAGTGGCTGGATTTACACATCAGGCTAAATCATAAATTTGCCTGTTTGTTTTGGCCAAATCTGATTTGTGAATCCAACAACTGTGTTTTAAGTACAGTTTGTGGCTTAACTGATTTATTGAATAAATCTTAACTGGCTGAGTTCTGAAACTATAATACTGTAAGTTTGTTTGGTGGTTAGTGTGAAATGTAGACCACTTGATTAAACATTCCTAGTTTAATAGAATAAATGAAACTTGAAACTGTGGGTGTGGGTGTGGGTAAGGACTAAGTAGCCAGACTCTTTCTAGATTGCTAAATATCAAGATATTAGAGAACTCTTGCAAATTATCCTAGTCATATCAGGAACAGTAATTGGTAACTTACAACACTTTACATTTCTTCTGGACATCATGTTCCAGATGTCAGTGGCTTAGTTGAAAACGTCTGTGCACATTAGAGTTGTGTGCAACTCTGAACAACAGAAGGAGAAAAACATGTTTTCCTACTACCACCATTTATCCAAAGAAAATCTAGGACAATTAGTGGGCATCCTCAACTTGTGATACCTGATAAACCACTTTGTAAATGAGATGGGAGGATTCTAGGAACTTTTAAAACTGCATACACAGATAGCTGTAAAATGCCAATAAAACTAGATGAATCCACTAGAAATGTAGGTTGAACAGCATCAATCCTGCAAACTTCCCCAACCGACAAGACTCCTCAAATATTTTCAAAAAATGGCATGTTCTAACCAGCTATACTAGAACAAAACACTGAAGGCAAGAAGTGTGCTTCCTTCATATGGACGAGTGTCTGTTGGAATAGTTTCCTCAAAACTGGATTGCTAGCAATTATTATGCATCCCACCAGACATTTCTATTTGTATTTTTTGAGTCAGACTGCTCATATGAAACATGAAGCTTTCTCTTTTCCATTTATGAAAACAAATACTCCATGTACATGTCTTTGTATATATCTCATATATTCTCTGAAAGGAGCAGGGATATCTATGTATTTCTGGAAGTTCTCTTTCAAACACGCAATTTCCATATTTGCAATTCAAGTTAGTCAAAAGGATATGTATGTGTTTAAGGAATGATACATCTGTATAGAGCATACTGGTTTTATCAAAGAGGAATTGGCACTGTCTTAAAATAGAGAACACGGTCTCATGTTCAGTACTACTGGCTTCCCCAAAAAACCAAAGAAGTAAATAATGATCAGGAAGTTTGTAGTTATTCTATGAACTATAGTATATGATTATTTACAGAAATAAAAACATTCGCTGTTGAGAGAAAAAAATTATAGACTGGTTAGTTCTGTTCTCATGAACTGCCATTGCATATTGGTTCCAAATATTTTAGTAAATAATGCAGCAACTAGTTGAGTCCTCAAAAATTCCAGAAATGATAAAACAACTGCTCTATTTTCCACTCTCTTTGTAAGTCTTCCACAGTCCTCTTTCATAGAACTAGGACCATTTCTTTAAAATGCACACACTGTCCATAGTGTGCTGACAGTTTACTTCCAAGTTTAAAAGAGAATTAAAGCTAGTTAGAATTAAATCAAATCAAATCAAATCAAACTGAAGCTGGTTAGAATTAAAGCTAGTTAGTCCACGACTTATGACAGCAACTGGGACCAAAATTTTCATCACTAAGTGATGTGGTCATAAAGCATGACTGTATCGGTTAGCAACAGCAATCCCTGTAGTCCAGTTGCCATCGTTAACTGAATCCTGAGGTTGTTAGGTGAGACAACTCCCTGCCAGCTTCCCAAATCCAAAGTCAGTGAGGAAGCCAGTAGGAAGTTACAAGTCCCAGGCCTGCAGGCAGATAAGTGGCTGCGGTCGGGTGGGGGAGGGAGTAAGGGGGTAGGCAGGGGCCTGGGGAAGGGTCAGGGAGGTGCGCAAGAGGCAAGGTACAGGGAGGGTCTGCAAGGTGGTGTGCAAGAGGCGCCGCACAAATCTGGGAGGGTGTGTGGGTCTGGGAGGGTGCACTGGGGCGCGCATATGGGGGAGACTCACCCCAGCAACTTGCAATCTCCCCTGCCGGCTTTCCCTTTGACTCTCTGGGAAAACTGGCATGGAAGGTTACAAATGGCAAAGATGTGATTGTGGGGTGCTTGGTAACTGGTCATAAGGTTGCCAAGAACCCAGATCACAATCATGTGACCATAGGGATGCTGGGATGGCTGCAACTTCGATATATTTTACATGTTATGTAAATGTACATAGGTAAAATTATATCACATGTTACAAACATAAATGTGTATGAAATGTAAATATATATTACACATATAAATTTACAGGTTATTACTGTTACAAGAAATACATTATAACGGTATACACTGAAGTGAGCATAAAGAATGAATTATGAGTGTGCCTGCCTTTTTAGAAATCCTTTTGGCTATTTCTGAAAAATCTAACTGGTCCCCGATATAGAGGTGGGTAAAGAAATATCCTGTTCATAATCTGGTTTCAGATGTTCCATTTTCACTAACAAGGCTGTTTTCTACAATAATGATAACAATGAATTCGTGCATGCATCCTTTTGGACTCTTGCAGATAACAAGACTCAAACTTTTTCTGTGGTTAAATACAAGATCTTTAAGGGCTGTTTATCAGTTAAAAGGTACATAATAATTTCACTCTGACTCATGCATTTCCTCCCCTCCAATGTCTGAATTATTGTTGCTCTGCAGACTATTCAGATTTCAAAAAACAGTGTTAAATTCCCTAAAAGGCTTAATGAGATTTTTGTTCACTGTTTCAAAACCACAACCACAACATACTTTAGTGCATGCTGCAACTGTGTGAGTTGACAGCTTATCTAACATGCATTCCACATTTAAGTGCCAAGAATGTGTATTCTTGCACTGCACTTCTCATGTCATTGCTCAGGTAGCTCTTTCAAAAAGGTGGGGAAGGCTATGTGTCATAGCACGAATTCCTAGGGAAGAAAACTCATCAAAAGAAGGTGTTTTCAAGAATCGTCTCTTCTCACTGACCACTGAAGCCATCTTAAATCAACTAGGCAGAGATGCATTAACGCTATGGAGCAAGAAGCAACATAATGTATTACCAATTAGGAATTCTTAAATGATCAGCTGAGTATTTACTGAATGGTGGCAATATTTTCAAAGACTGCTTTTGAAAACTTCTTCATGATGCTTTATTATTAAATCTTCTTACTGTGTCTGGATTAATAATGATCAAAGGGTGTTCCAGAGGCTGCCAGGAGAACTACCCAGCCACTATCTGAGAAGATCCTGGGTATATTATTTATCTTAAATGTTCATAAAGAAGTAAAGTGCACTTCCACTTATAAGCTATGCAAATAAGAATAATGGGGGGAATGGGGAGAAGTGAAACTTTAGTTGTGAGCATTGCAACTTAAGCAACACACAGTCCTATTTACTGGGGGCAGAGAGGGGCTTTGAAGCCAGAAGCAGAGGATCTCAAATTCCCTAGCTGTGACCCTTTTTCTGAAACCCACTGTCCAATTATTCATGAGTTTTTAAAGAAAAAAAAATCAGCATTATCTGCTTAAATGAGGTGTTTTTATGTTATACAGTGCTACCATTTTAAAAAAGAAACCTTGGCTCTCTCAATTTGTAGTTCTTAGCAAATGGGAATACGTTTGTGCAGCTTTGTTTTAACCTTTATTATCATGCTATGTTGTTCAAAACACTTTCCAGCTTTCCACTCAAAATCCAAGGTCTTGCAGCTATTTAAAGAACAACAAGAAAAAGGAAAGCCAGCATAAAGATTGAACTAAAAGACAGTCCAATTTCATTATGTTTCAACTATCCACTTAAGGACTAAATGTTACCTGAAAATAGTCTGTGATGAAGGATCCGAGCTCACTCTTCAACAACTGCCTGGAAAGAAATGGATCACTTATCATGAAAACACTTCCAGAAAATATTAATCAAAAGAACAGATTTTTTACTAAACTGTACAATGTACAGGTGTACTAATAAGGTGTTTTGAGGCAAATGTTTTTATTCCTTTCATGCTTCCCCATGAGACATCTGGTAGTAGACAAAGAATCCTAAGTTGGTGGAACACCATCTGTTAGTCAGGACATTAAGTTTTACCAAAGCCAGTTTCATTTGTTTTTTATTTGACTTATCCCACTTGCATGAATCACCTTTTGACAACGCATTCCTTGTGACATGTAACAGTCTGGATTAGAAATACTGATTTGTACAAGACAAACTCTGCAGCAAGAATTTGACCAAAAGGCCTTAGTCTCCATACGTAACTCCTTATACTGGCAAGCAAGCGCTAGTTCAACTTCTAAAGAAGGCAAGATCACTTTTCCAACTTAGCCATTTCTATGTTCCAATATATTACTCTTGAGTGGGCTGGAAAGCAAACATGCTTTCTACTTTTCAGTCAGGTTAACTCATAATGCTTTGATGCTCCATCCCACGCACATTTAATGTCCAATAACACTAGACATGAGGAAAGCATTTCAAACCTTACAAACATCTGTAAGACAAGGTCCAGTTACAATGCTAGCAGAGAAATATTTTCAGCAATATTCCAGTACAGAAAAGCATTGTCACTTTCTGATCAATGACAAACATTACACAATGCCAATTTCAGTAACTTAACCCCAAGTAAATCACTACAAGATCAGAGTTTAAATCCACATATTTCCAAACAGAATTGAAATGTAACTGATTTTGAGTTTTGAATACCTGAAAACAAAACTGAGGATGTAGCATACTCATGAACCAAAAACCATGGAACCTTCAAATAAGTGACATCTATGACTTCAAAATAATAATAATAATTTTAAAAAATCATGATTTTGCAGTATATCACTACTATGACACAATCTCCCCATTACAGCTTGTCATGAAGCTGAGATTCTATTCTGACATCACTTTTCTCCTTGTTGTACCAACATTAATCCAATACAGGAGATTTATAAGAATTCTGAATTCCTGTCCTCAATTTCCATTCAATAGTGCTTCTCAAATTATGGGTAGCCATTCTCCAGCAATGTTATTTCTTTCCTCCTTTTTTTAGTCTCATCATTCACTGGACTAACAAATTTGCTATCTGAGCTCATGTTCTGACATGTAAACTAAAAGCCCCAATTCTTTCCCTAATCCTGTTTGATCAAAACCCTCCAGGCACTCCCCCAATATATTTGCTATTCATTTTCTCACTCCAGCAATTAACCAATCCACTCAACAAACTTAATCAGGCAACCTTCCGAAACAAGCTTTATTAAACAAAGGATTTTGTGATCTGGAGCCCAATTTATTCAATGCGTCAGGTGAACTTTAATCCACATAACAAAATTCATTTGTTTTCACAATGAACTACAAACATTTTGCTGTGATATACCAAGACATTTATACTTCTGGAAATCATGCCAAAATAAGTGGAATAGGTGGCTTTTTTGACAACTGACTAATCCTACTGAAATTTCTGCCTCTTTTGATAGATTTGCTTAGATACACGCAAGCCAGTTTCACAGCTGGAGAAACACATCTTGCCATTACAAAGAACAAAATGAATGCATTGCTGTTTCTCTGCACAGATTGAAAGACAACTATCCTTTCCAAGCCCCTTATTTAAAGCATGCATTAAAACAATAAGATTTTTCATCCACAAGGGTGAAATTGGGGGGGGGGGGGGGTCTGATTCCAGAAGGAATTTATAAAGCCATTTGTCAGAGCATGAAGAACTACTTCTTACTGAGATGATATAAAAAGCAACAAACTTTATGAAGAATTTGTTTTAAAAGCAAGATCTTATGGCCAAAATTGCATGCTTTAAACAAATCTGTTTTCAAATCAGACAAATAAAAATGATCTGTGCTACTGGAAAAAATGTCCCCGCTGTTCTTAATTAACTCACTGAGTACATCTCAAACAGAAGCATGAGGGATACTGATAACCTTTTTTCAAAACATCTTAGCTTTCTTGGTATTGACAATGTTTAAAGAAGTTCATGGAGTTAAAGGAGAAAAGGCCATGAAGGAAGAAAAAAGAAAAGGAGGTCATTCTATGTGTTTATCAAAGTTGGAGCCACCATCAAACCATTATTTGTTCCCATTTCCTGGAGCAAACTCTTACCTATTGCCATGCCTTGAGGGGGGGAAGGGGGGGGGGGCTTCGAATCAGTGTTGATTCCTAGCAACTACCTGGACAAATTCCTGCAGTTTTCTTGGCAAAATTTCCAAAAGTGTTTTGCCATTGCTTCTTCCTAGGGCTGAGCGACAGTAACTAGCCCAGGTCACCCAGCTGGGTTTGTGCCTAAGGCATGAAGAATTCATAAACTCCCAGTTTCTAGCTTGGCGCCTTAACCACTACATCAAACATATATCTGACCAGACTTTGTTCAAATAAACTTGTGTGATTCAGTGAATGTTTTCACAATTATCCAAACTTCTACAAGTCACAAAGATATTCACAACTGAACACTGAAATCTGAAATATACTACACCCAGAGCATGTAGCTCTCTTACACACATATTCTTTTTCTCCCCTTCTCTCATACATACTAATTCAGTACCAAAACATTAATTCCATTCAGATTCCAAAGAGCAGACCTACTGCACCCCACTTCTAAAAAAAAACCAACCTTCAAAGCAGATTCATCAGTAACATACCTCACAAAATTAAAAAAAACAAGGATATAGAGACAGAAACCTATCTTGAAAAGGAAACCCAGTTCTAGTTCCTTTCTATGATGCCAGTTGTTTAGAGTATCAACTTACAAAGCAGCAACATTCACACAGCACCTTACAACTCAACCAACTCAGTGACAAACAGAACCTTTCTCACTCTCACCCCTAGAAGGTGCAAACTTACTCAAAATCCCTCAAATTCTTCCCAAAAATTCAAGAGAAAAAAAAATCTGGAAATCTCAATCCTGTTTACATGCTCACGGCTCCACCAGATTGCATCATTATTCTGCCTACTAACAATGTGAAGCACATCTACCTGCCACCATCAGCAACCCTGCCCAACTCAGCCAACCACCAATAAGTCATTCTTATGGGTGGCAGTTTCCCAAGCCTGAACATCCTTTAGTAATATGATGGCAGAAAGAAGCTGAAAAGATGCCCTTTTTGATAGCCATTTCTTAACCGTGATTGTAGCAAGTAAATAATTTGCTGGAGGAGGAGCAGGGCCAAATTCTGATTTCAACCCTCCATTACTGCTACTACCACAAATCACTTGGCAACAAGAAGAAGAACATAAATCCACCTTCCTGTTTCCCATGTAAAATAATTAATATATGACCATTTTTTTTTCTCTTGCAAATTGCTGCACTGCTCTGGCACCTTGGCATCATAAAAAGAGTCCATGGGTCAGTCTCCTTGATTGTGCCAATAAAAGAAGATTATGAATCCAAGACACAAGCTACTGTCACAGCACAAAGCTCTCAGCATTTCACTTGCCCCTGCCTGGGAAGGCTGTTGAATCCAGTTCAGTTAAACCAACGTACCTGACATTTTCGTTGAGGATGTAGAGTTCATTGTTTTGTAAGCCTCCCCCTTTGAACACATTGATCACTGCTGTTTGAACACTGCCAAACAGAAGGAGAGGGTTAGGGCAGTCATAAATAATGAATGTCATAGCCTGATTTACACAAAGCAATGAAACTGCAGTCAAGAACCATGTAAATATATTGGTGGGCAGAGAAGGAGATTAATTGCCCTTAAATGACTTCTGCTTCCCGCCCCCCCTGCCCCCCGGAATCATCAGGCTCCTTTGCCCATGACTGTCAAGAAGTAACAGTAGAGAGAAATGAAGTTATACAGATATCAAGAGACTAATACAGGCGGGCACTAGCCAAAGTTAACAGCTCCACTGTATTCTTCTGCCTTTATGCGGCTCTTATTCAGAGCGCTGCTGTGACTGTTGCATCATCTTCTTTGGAAGGAAAAAGCACCCTGGAAATTTTGGCCATTATATATTCAGACTTCTCCAGGCATACACAAAGGCCATAAATTAAACACAGTTTGATTCATTGCATACCACAAAAGAATACGATCTAAAAGAAGAGACAGAGTGCTGTGTATGTTTCACAAACTACAAAATTCTATCTCTGTGGTACTGCATGGTCAAATCATCATTGGAACAGTCTCTAAATTGTCCCAGGGTTTTTCCCCACGAAAGATGAAAAAATGTTTTCTAAGATAACAGAATTCAGGAAAATAAGAAAACATTTATCATTTTCTTTTACTAATCCAGTTATCTACACATATATTTGCACAAACCTATCCACTTCTAAGCCAATCAGAGTTGTCAGCTAGGACCACATGTGTTTGAGGAGGAGAGGAAACTAGAATCAATCACTGCTGTCTGCACCAATTTGTAAATGCTCTCTGCACCATTAACTGCAGCCATTTAAATAGGGCTGTGTTTCTAGTTGCTGATCTAGTGACAATTCATGTACAACATAGAATCATTGTTTGATACTATGAGAAACGCCCTTGAGAGAGTTCCCTTTGTTTTTTCTCTAAGCCACTTTACTGATAACCACTGCCTCTGAATCACAAACTGTATTTGGAACTTTTCTGCTAAACAGAATTTTAAACCATGATTTGGCATTTCAGGTTAACCAAACAATAAAAGTAGAATCAACTGTAGCTATCAAAATTTCAATAAACAGTCCAAGGCATTTTCCGCAACCACACTTTAAAATCACCTAGACACACCTACACGGAAATCTCTCTAGTGTGACAAATCCCTGCCAGGATATTGTCAAGTTCTTACAGAATGATATCTCACAAAAACAGACGTATTACTCAACTTTATTCACCCAATCTTTACCCTTGATGCATTCAGGAAAAGTTTAAACCAGATCTAATCCAAAATCTTTTCCTTTGCACACCAAGGAGAAGAAAGGGAGGAAAAATGTTCCACTCCCCCAAGATACATACAATTAATGACATATCCACAGAACTGCAAAGATAGTTTGTGAATTCAAACACATAGAGAAGTCCAATAACGTTGGAAGGGAAGTATTAGAAGACACAATAGGGCTCTGTGGTGCTTTGGATACAAGGGGAAAAAGGCGTTCTTGAGTGCACACGTACATGCAATTCCTTAGACCAGTGTTTCTCAACCTTGGCAGCTTGAAGTCCACACATCTTCAAGTTCCCAAGGTTGAGAAACACTGCCTTAGACCAAATGCATCTTTTCTCAGGATCTGCTGCAGCTGCAAACAGCAGCCACACTATCCCTGAAGGACACCTCATTACTTAAAGGAGCTGCCAACGGGTGCTATGTCAGTGTCCCTGCACACACTGAAGCACCTTTTTTCCCCTCTGAATCCAAGCCCCAAGACATCATATATACATTCATTTGATTTTTCTCACCTGTTCCAGGCAGAATTAGAGCTGAACTGCAGAGACTGCCGAGCTGCCAGGAATCGCGGCAAATCGCTCAGCGCCGGGGAGCTCATGAAACGTGGCCGGGGCTTTCGGAATGAGCCCATCTTCTGAAATTGGCAAGCAAAAGCTAGAGCTATGGTAGAATCCTTGGTCATCAGTTTAGGTGGAAAGGGATGAGGAAAAGGAGTTGCAAAAACCGCCAAGGATATTGAGGTTAACTGGCAGAGAAGATGCTTCTGTTTCCTCGGGAATCAGAATTCAACCTGTCCAAAGAGGAAACCAAAAAGAATAGGTTAAAATCGAGGGTGATCATATTATATGAACTACATGATCCAATAAAATAGACTGGTCATAATGCAAGCTTACTTGGCTTCTGCTGCACCAATGCAAACTGATCCTCCCCATCACCGCTGTTGTGATACGGTTTAACCTGTCATACTAAAAAAGAAAACCCTTTCATTTCAACTTCAGCCTTAAGACAATGTTCTGGTTTTTAGACATTAATTCAGAATCCTTTGGGAAATACAGAAAGAAGCCTGGCTTAGAATGTCTAGAAACACCACAGATAAAAAAGAAAAGCTGCCTCTTAAGGGGAGGATTTCTTACATTGCGACGTGCCTAACCCAAGCAGAGCAGGCATACTCTCTCACCAATGCATTAGCAACACATCCAAGCCCCCTAGGAAGAATCCCAAATTATTAAAGAAGCATTGAGAAGACCCAGGCCTTTCGTTAAGGCCCCTCTGGATCTAATGGAGAATTGCTGAAAAAGGTCAGAGGCTCAGAGTTCTTTCACTGTAAGCAATGTTGCAATCTATTTCTTGTGAAATCACTGCATACCAATGAGTGAAGCTGAGACTGGTAATACTGTACCAAGCTTTTGGATCATTACAAGTGGAAATTTTCTTTACAGTTCAGACACACGCCTCGCCTTGTTAGGACTGCCACCACCCCAAAGGGGATTTGTTGTGTCATCCAAACTGGTTTTGTTTTGACTTCAAATGTAGTTCTGCGGCCAAAGCTAGAAAATCATAATTTTAGATCTGTACATTTTTTTTTAATCATCAGTGGTAGACAGGGACTTAAAAGGAAGCAGCAAAATTCTCTGTGTTGTCTTATAAGTAATGTAGTATTTAAGATCATGGGCTGAAATCCCTGGTTTCCACCTTAGCTTATAAGAAGCTTGTTTCAACCTCAGTTTCTCTCCACTTACCTCATCTTGCAATACGTGGATAATAACGCATATTACTTCATAGCGATAATAATCATACCTAATGTTAATGCCAACCATTGGAATATTTTACATTTCTATAGAATTTTCATCTTGACAAAACCAGGCCACATATATAGCCAAGCATGCATATACAATTTACATTTCAGAATCAGGATTACAGTAAGCTGAAATCAAAGAGGCTTCAGTGGATCATGATCAACTTGAGGTCCATTTCTTGTTCTAAATATGACTAAGCTTGGGCCCAGTCCAAAGACTGCAAATCAAAATATTAGGGAATTATTAAACAGATTATATACTAGATAAATTCCTTTTTTAAAAAAACTATCTGGGATCATTTTTTTTTCCTCAAGAACCACATCAAAAATTCATGAGACTAAGAGGCTAATGCAGTACATCAGACTGAAGTGTTGGCTCTAGATCCGGTTTAAATCTCTTCCTCATTCACTGACTAGAAAATGTCCTGCTTCATCCTGGTAGAAAGAAAGACACAACTATGCAGCATTTTTAATACTACAAAATTACATAATTGGCAATCAAAAAGGTACAAGTGTTCCTACTGACTTGTTCAATTAAAGCTGAAGTTTGAAATGGATCCAACAACACCTATTCTAAAGACAAATTAGCCATCGCAATATTGTGTTAATTCAGGAATAGGCATCGTGCTCTCATATCTATTTTTGCATTCTCCCCAGACCTCTCCGCGCACGGTTTCCCACAATTTAGGAAAATGAACTCATAATCCAATTGCAGAAATGACTTGACTTAGCTTTAAAGATAAAGAAAACCCTACATTTATTCTCCACCAAAAATAGAAAAACCAAAAACAGACAATTCTGGCTGCACCCGTATGGGAACACAACTTCGCTCAACTATAAATCTCTCCATCTTATAAAAATGTTAAGTGCTGCCCCCAGCCTCTTTTAATTAAACAGCAAAATAGAACTAGACTGGTCACTGGCACTTCAGAACACAATTATGCCTTACTCCTTCAAGCATGATTGTAATCAAATTCTCCCCCTCTGCACACCAGTTCGGGAAAAACCTCTCCCTGGTGCAAGTGGAGGGTTTTGTTTTTTTTTTCCCCTTACAACTAATCACTGTGGGGGTGGTTTTCTTTCTTTTTTCCTTTTTTACTGAGTTCATGGCTGCAGAAAGAAAAGCTTAAGCTATTCCTATTTATACTGTCATGAAGGTATCTTTTACTATATGTAAAAACAAACCAAAAAAAAAAAAGGTCCTTAACTACGTTCTTGCTAATCTTATAATTAGCATCAGTTGTACCAAGTCGCACAATTTTTACTTACTTAGTTACTTCTATTATTCATACGCTACTTTTTCTCCCTCTGTCAATCTCACGGCAATATGTATTTCTAGGCAAGGTTTTTCTTCAGGTATTGATTAGACTCGGAGTTTAGAGCATTCAACTTCAGAAGATCTTAAGACAGTCTTTCACAACCCATTAAGCTTTGGTAATAAACAGGTGTACACCAACAATGCAAGAAAGTGTCACATGTGAAAATGGTACAGCACTCTGTACAATGAAGATTTGACTATTAAACATTTCCTGATGGTGTGGACAAAGTTTAAGCATCAAGTTCAGAAAAAGAAGAAAACAAAACTTGTTGGAGGCCATAGAGTTACTAGAATCCTCTGCTATTACAGAGAAAGCCTGGTTATCTTTTAAATAGTTGCAGAACTGTTCTGAAGTACAAACTGTAGACAAAATTCCCCCAAGCTTTTTTTTTTTTCCCACACTTGAACTGGTACACAGATCACCTTCAAGTTGGATGAATGTTTTCGGTACAAAATGTTTTCTCATAATTTGCTAGCCATGCCCATTACAATGTTATGGGCAGAATCTTATCATTTTATTTATTCATAGTTCATAGTTGCCCAACTAGATACCAGAGAAGAGGGACTTAAAAAAAAAAAAAAAAAAAAGCACTTGTTATATCTATCAGGGAGAACCAGTTTGGTGTAGTAGTGAAGGCATCAGGCTAGAAACCGGGCGACCATGAGTTCTAGTCCCACCTTAGGCACGAAGCCAGCTGGGGGGCCTTGAGCCAGTCACTCTCTCTCAGCTCTAGGAAGGAGGCAAAGGCAAACCACTTCCAAAATCTTGCTAGGAAAACTGCAGGGACTTGTCCAGGCAGTCACCAGGAGTCAAAAACTGACTCAAAAACAAAAAGAAAATATCTATCAGAGAAGGAATGCATTTAGTACATTCAGCCTCAAGCATGGGAAATATTCACACAAAGATGGTACCAAGAAAGGAAGCAGGGGCAAATGCTTTTGAGCTAAAACATGATACCAACAAGTATATGTAGAACAGTGTTTCTCAACCTCAACAAATTTAAGATGCATGGACTTCAACTCCCAGAATTCCCCAACATTTTCTCATGCTGTACAAAAATGTACGAGAGGTATTTCCATGCTTTAAAAAAAGACTGAATTAATTCTCCATTTTACCAACATCCCTCCTCCCCCTCCCTTTACACGAATTCTAGTTTGGTAATAGGAATTAGTATTTAGGAAGCATGAACGTAAAATATAATTGAAGAATTCTTTTGAGACCAAACACTGAACTGGCTGTAGGCAAGCATGCTGAAAGGCCTGCACTGGTAGTCAGCTGTTTTCCAGGCCCAATGTAAGGATTTGGTATTAACTGTTAAAGCTATAAACAATTTAGACAGTAACTATTTGACAAGCTGCCTCTCTTGTTTTGAAGCTTTCTGACTGTGAAAGCCTATACAAGAGCCAGTCTGAAAATGCCCTGTTTTTAGAGACCCATATGTCAAGCACAAAGAAGATGATCTTCTCCTACCACTACTCACAGCCTAGGGCAACACACTCCCACTTTCTCTGCTTTTAGAACAGCAGCCAAGCCAGATGTACATATTTCATGAGGCTTTTATAACATTACTTTTGGTTTTCAATTTATATTTTACATAACTGAGTAGAGTGGTAGAATACAAATAGAAGGAAGAAAAGGAGGAGGTGAAGGTGCCCTTGATGCTAGTGATGGGCAAAATCACAACCCATCTTTTCAGCTTCTTACCTAAACATACATCTCATTCATTCATTCTCTCTGGCTTTGCTTACCCTTTCTTTTTCCTATGGAAATATGAGTGAGGCCCCAAAGAAGCACTATTTATTTCGGCTTCTTAAAACAGCAACTGTCCAGGTGAAGACTTCATGGAAAGTCTGGGAGACCAAGCTCAGCCTGCAGGTTCCCCATCTCTAGTACAAATCATCCTGAAAACATACTGATGTTCAAAACAAAGAATTTCCAAATCACTTACAAACCAGCATTATCCTGAATGCAAAGCAAATACAGCTAGAAGGTTTAACTAAGTTCAGAAGAATTGGGTGGGATAATGAAAGTTATTTCTCACTCTGAATGCTGGAATTACAAATAACATGGTTTCCTGAGTTTGAAGGCTTTGATTTGGGTTGGATAGGGTGGTAGTGGTTCTAATGATTAGCATTAATTCAGTTCCTGTTGTAGGAAGGCTTCGCTTTTTCACTGATATGCACATAGCACTAATCAGGGCCACATTATGACTTTTTGTAGGTCCTAGGCACTTTTGCCTTTGTGGACCTCTCCCTCCATAAAAATAATAGTATTAAAAATTGTATTTCACATGATTTTCAATATTTCCTTATTTTTACAGAGAAACAGGGAATAGTAAATAATACATGATATGCATTTTTGTAATAATCAGTTCTTGCACATTAATTATGTTTGTCCCAAATCATCAAAGTTACTAAATTTTAGTATTCACACTATGCCTATAGGTTACAAATAAGATCATTGGTTTGATGTTCAAAGTTTGTGTGTTTTTTGCTGGTTTTTTAATTAGAAGGCATGAGAATAATTATTTATTTAAAGGCGTGAAAATAGTTTCTATTTCATTTTTATTCTTTCTGATTTAAAAAAAATCAGAAAACATTTTCATGAGCCCTAGGCCCCATGCCTATTGTGCCTAATGGGTAAGTCGGTCATGGCACTATAGTATATTAAAAAGCTTCAGAGGCAAAATATGTAATCTATAATATCTGATCATCAGCAAATCAGAAAACAAGCTTCCAAATAACACACTTTTCACTGCTATTTTTCAGATACCTCATCCCCTTAAATTTGGAACAGGCATAAACCAGCCATCAAAAATATTTTTACCTAAACCAAACAGCCGGTCCTACTGTAAGCTTTTGAATAATTTGTCCAAATCTAGATAATACACTTCCTTCTCCTTAAAGAACCTCTTCTTTACTCTGTCATTACAACAGTAAAGCAACAACAACAACTAGTTTATTCAGAAAACAATGTTAAATCCGAGATTGACCATAAAGATAAGTCTCTATCTTCTGGAATTTACCAAGGTCAAATAAAATGTATCTAAGGTCTACCTACAGCTAACCATATGTATGTAGAACATGCTGCCTAACAGTGCAGTTATCTCCAAGGAACCCAAAAGGGTAGAATTCAAAAAATTAAAACTAAATTGAAGATTAGAGGCAGAACTAAATCAGATTTCACAGAGCTTTACAGCATTTGGTGCAGAGATAAGGAATTTCCCAAGACTAGACCAGATGCTGAGAAAGGAAAGCAATCTTTTTTTCTGACACATCATTTCCCATCTAATCCTGATAAGAAATTCTCCTTCTCTTAACAAATTACCAAGACTTTATTTCTTACACTTCAAATTTAGAACAGTGTCCCTGTGCTAGCTAATCTCAGATATAATCTGAATTAAGACACTTAAAAAGAAACTGCCCTTGTTAGATCTCATCATTAGCTGGGATCCCAGCTGAGAGTCAGCAGTTATAACCTGTTATAACAGTTATAACAGTTATAACCTCTGTGTAGACACAGAGATGTCTACAGATAGAGATAAAAGGGTTTTAGCAACTAAGAAATATTAGCTTCCCTCGCATAGCAAAACTTTTTTTCTTTCCAATATCATCCCAAAATAAACCAATGGAACCAATCAAGTTTCAGACATGCTTGCAATGTTGCAATATAATTTGGTATGACAAAGAGGGAAAAGGAAGTCATATGTCTCACTACTCACATAGAGCTCCTTGGGCATTCCCAGTGGAATGCTGAGTCATGCTTCAAATGTTGCCCAAATATGTAAACATTTAACATTTTTAATTAAGCCAAGCATTTCCTATTTCAGCAGGCCACAGCACTTAGCTGACCTTCTCCGGACCCCAAAATTATGTACAGTCAGGTCTGGTCAGTCCTTGGATGAGACACATCCAGGAAATCTCAGGGCTGTAAACAAGGCTGGGAAGTTCAAAATACCATCCTGAAGAAAAGGCAATGACAGCACTTCTGTCCATGAAGTGTCTTTTATCTTTTAAAAATCCATAGGTGAAATCCTTTAGGTAGAATCATGGTTTTGTAATACTGCTGATCAGCAGTGTCCACAGGACTTCAAGCTTTCCTTAGAAAGGTGAAAAGAAAATTGCAACATCATACTCCAAGCTCTGCCCCTTTCAGGCATGCATGCAAGTTACAATGCATGTAAGAAAGGAGTAGAGCATGCATTGTAACATTGCTTTTGTCATTTTGCCTGTGGACCTGTTTGCTGATGACTAAAAATGCTAGAACAACTTTGCAAATAAAATCTTGAGAGGTATTGGCCTACAAAGACTTCTAGAAACATGATGGCCCTAAATACTTAAATGGTATGTCTGGACCTTACTATTTTTATCAAGGTTTCACTAATTCAGGCTACAAATGCCAATTAATCCCAATTAAGTTAATGTAATTTACTTATGAGACTGAGTATATACTGTAAATCCCCTTCTCATTTTTAAGCATTTTTCTTTTAATCTTCTGGCCACCTGCTCTTGATTTTTAACCAGCCAGATGGCTATTTCACTTTTCTTCTGCCTCTGGATTGTCCTTCTCCCACACAATTTTCAAAAAGGTTTGAAAGGCATTTAGAAGCCATTTTTTTTAAAAAAGAACAAAACACTAAAAAGAAGAACCAGTCAACAATATAGATCTTTAAATGTAAGATAGCAGATTCTTTCTACCCATTTAGCACAGTTAAGAATCTATAATCTGCCACTTGCTTCCTTTTCAAATCTAATCA